TGAAGAAATGGAACAGTGCTTACCATACATGATGATAGAATTATAAAGAAATTTTGTATAGTAACTTTGTAGCCAGTCTTATATCAAATTTCCTAGTTAATAAATGCTTAAGTGATTAGTACATATATTAATACAAATTGCATGAAAGCAGAAAAGGAAAAAATAAAGTCTGCTTTTTATGTATAGAGATAAAAAAAAAACCTTCAAACACTGAGTACAACTATATTTCTTTTGAAGAAAGTTCTAAGTTTGAAAAATAAAATTAAAATTATTAAAATCTGAAGAGGATAACTCTGAAAAAAAAAAAAAAAAAAAAGTTTTGGCAATTAAAAAATAGAAGAAAAAAATATCTTAACATTTTTAACAAGTTCAAAAAAAATATTGGTTAAATAAAAGGAAAATCTATCAAAAATATTCTCCAAATATAAAGCATGTCATTTTAAGGCACAAATAGCATTAGTCACATTTTCTTTTCATAGAATAATAAAACTCTTCAAGTATGATTTTAATAGAAAAAATAAATTTATCATCTATGATAATAATACAAGTTAGGAAAGAATTATTTCATTTTATTGTCATCATCTATTAACAAAGAGCAGAGAAAAATATATATTTTGATTAGATAGTGGTGTTATTTTTAAATTTCAGCATTAATGAAATCGTAATGAGTTTGTTTCATATAAATTTCTTTAAAAACAACTAAGATTTTGCAGTGTATACAAATATTTCAGTGTTTATATATATATATATATATATATATATATATATATATATTAATAAATAATCAAGAAATTATTTACAATTTTCATAAAAAAGAATTCTCTCAAGTTTGCTTCTCTTAAACAAAGTGACAAAAATTAATTCAAAAGAGAAAAGCAAGACAATCAATGCTGCTGCTGCAATGAGGTTTAGAGAAAGCATAACATTAAAAAAAAGAAAAGATTAATAATCAGCTTTTAAAACTTAAAAAAAATTTAAACAATTGGAATGTACTGGAAGATACCAAGATAATGCAGAAAAGAATGCAGCAATATAGAGAAGATATTAGAAAGAAAGTATAAACTAAATATAAGTAAAATTAAAATTGGTAATAGGAAAAAAGATAAAAGATATTCAGATGGTCAAATACTGTGAAGTAATCAAATTTTAAAACATTTGGAAGCTTTCAATATTACATCACAAAATAAAAATTTTATTTTTTTGGGATTAGACAATGTGAGATTTGAGCAGTTCAAACAAAATTTAAAAGGCTAAAAGTTAATATTTAGTGATGATTTTCAATTATTAATGAAAAACGAAATTGTCTGATATTTGTTTTCTTAGTAAAAACTATAACATCAGCTCAAATACTTGCAAACAAATTGAAACAGTGGCATCCAATATTAGAAAATAATTTAAAAATTAAAATAAAATCCCAATTCTACAGTGATAAAAATTGCAATAAATATTCTTAAAAACTTATTCTATACTAAATTTGCATTAAGAAAGTATAAAGAAAGTTATAGTAAAAAATGCAATGCTCAAAATTAGAAAACAATCCTGGTAATTTATATTGATGGATATTTATTAAAATAAAATGTAGGAATTCCCAACAAAATATGACAACATTGCAATGTAGACAAATTTTACTTATTCATCTGAAACATTGTTTCCCCAAATCATCTCAATGGTAAGCCATTGCAAAGTGAAGGATTCATTCAGTCATAGGCACTAGAATTTCTATTATTGTAAAAGAAGTTAATATATGCAAGAGCAAATTCTAAAATAAAGCTTTATGATTATATTGGTCCCTTTTAAAATACCTAAAACACCTGTGTGGACAAGTAAACTAATTCTTTGGCATTCAGGCAATTCAAAGACCATCCATGGTAGACCATTTTGACACAGCAGTAGGTTTTGTGCATAAAGTAGCTGAACTATATAGTATAAAAGTATCTTATCAGGCAGTTTATTTATATGAAGAAACAAGGACTTATGTACATTCTCTTGCCATTAAACTCCTCATCAACAAAAAGAAAAAGCTGAACAAGATTTTGCAAATGAGCACATTGTCTGGGCCAATGAAAATTGGGCAAAATGAATGTGAGTTTAATTTGGTTGGCGCTGATGGCAAGCAGTGTCATAAAGATGATATAAAGGTGAGAGATTGGTTCCCAAATCTGCATCAAAATCAGTTAAATTTGAAAGTGGAAGCATATTGGCATGTTGACCCGCTTATTTGGCTAAGTAAATATTGCAGTGTTTAACAGTATTATTGAACAAAATATGTTTGTTCTTTCTCTGAGGATATCACCTACCTTCAGGCTCATTTTCACACAAAATAATTCTGTTTGTCATACTCTGCAAAAACAGTAAATAATAGTTCAAAACTAAAAATGCTGGGGAGGTACAGCATGGCCAACTCAAGATCTAGATCTCAATTCAATTAATAATCTAGAAGATCATTGTTCATAATGACATTGATTAATCTGTAGCAGAAACTGCAAAAGGAATGGGACAAAACCCACATCTGAACAAGGTGACAAAATACTGAAGTCCTGCAGTTGTGCAAAATTAAAAGCCATGGTCTGTACATGTCTTAGTATTTTGTTGATAATTTACAAACATATTTATAATTTTGTTCTCTAATTTTGGATGCTACCCTTTTATACAATAAACAGTTTCAGTTTTAAGACTTTCTTTATCATTTGTTCTCTTTTATGCAAATTTAATTTACCACAATGTAGAACAAAGTATTAATATTAAGTTCCCTTCACAATTGGAAAATTAGAAAGTTTTTTTTTTTAATTTTTAAACTCTCCTCCTCTAATATTGGATGATACTGTATAAAAAAATACTAAAAATAATATGTAATAAAGTTTTTTAAAGCATTTCTATTGGAATTTTTTAAAAATGAATAAATCTTGTTATAAATAATTTTTTAAATGCTTTCTTGCAAATTAATAAAAAAAAATTAGCAAGTTTGTTTCAGCAGTGTGTGTGTGTGTATATTATTTCCTTGCTCTCATGAAAGAATTTACTTGAAAACATATACATGTATATTCAGATTGATATTTACAAATACCTGATTGGTTTATCTTTCTCAAGCAGCTTAGACAACACTGTTAAGCAAGTCAAAGGAAAAAATGTTTGTAAAACTTAACACTAAGAGTAAAAAAATATTTGATGACATTGAGTTTTAAAACTTGTTAACATAAGTATGGTAACTTGATTTTTATCATTCATTTTTCAGCAAGTGATATTAAAAGGCATTGGAATATATTATTTTGAAGTAATTTTTCCTTTTTCGTACTAGCTTAGACTCATAGATAAAAAGCAAATAGAGTTTAGCTGATTTGTTGACACCTTATTTTACTATAATGGTTAGGAAATTTGTCTTGCAAATAATAACTAGTGAGTTCAATCTACACTGAGTGTCCCTTACCTGTAGCCTTATGCCAAAATTAATCTATGCTTATTAAATACTGAAAGCTTACATGGTCTAGAATTGTATCATAATTATCATTTTGTTTTGCTAGCTTAGCTGTTTGGCACTTGGTTACATATTTTAAGTTTAATTGCATTGATAGATTTAAAAGAAAATGTAAAATCATAAACACTCAAAATAATAGGAATATAAGAGACAATTATAAAATTTAGTTTGAATTATATAAACAATTGTGAATTCTTTTTCGTATCATAAATAGCATTATAGTCATTAAAAAGTGATATGAACAATAAGAAGTTATGCCCCTTACGCAATAAACTAAAAAAATAAATGACAAGATGACTTGTTTGATTTAAAACACTACTTTAAAATTCATTAATTATTAAGCTAAAGAACTTTTCAGATGTAATGAGCCAACTAAAATGATTATTGCTCTCAATAAGTGAAGATGAGCTTTTCTTTATTCTCATTAGTATGATTAAAATTTTGTAAGACATTCTAGTATCTGGTTTGCCGAGTCCGTCTAAAGGGAATTAAAGAAAGTAATCCTTTCATATTTGTTGTAGACCATATCTCCACTATTTAAATATTTATGTTTAAAAACATCTTGAAGAAATAGCTCAAACTATAATGTATCTATAACTATTCACTCTTAGCAAAGAAAAACATAAAAATAATCATAACATAAAATATGGACAAATTACTTAATAAAAATCATGATAGAAAATAAATCAAATTGTCATTAAACAGAATAGTGAAATCTTGCTTCACATTTAACAGTTCTAATAAAAAAAAAATTATCTGTCAAATGAACTTTAACAATGTAATATTCTTTTTATGGATAAACATTTTCTAAAACTACAATGAAACTGTTAGCAATTGTTAAGATTACTTAAAATATTCCCAATTGTTAGTAAAACTCACAGGGAACTTTAATGGGCACAAAATTAGTGGGTTTAACACAAGTCAAATTATTTGCAATGATTGAAGTTCACACTCTACAAATGATGATAACAACTAAGTTATACATGAAAGAATTTTGAATAATTTCACAAAAGCTGCACACGAATGTAACATTTTATGATTTATATTAAAACAAGTTAAATGTCTCGACACACTTCAATCATTGAACATGAATTTAGCAATTTAAAAATACCATTTAAAATAAAAATCAATCATATGGTGTTTACGTTTTACATTATGAATAAACAAATATCAACTTAAAACAAAAAATATTATTAACCTGATAAATGCAGCATGCCTAAATATGCAATAAAAATTATCTCTTATTTTATGACTTGATAATAGTCATTTTTTTTGTATTCAGTTAAGAATTTTCATTTTTCTATTTAATAAAAGCATCATGAAAAGCAACAGATCAAAATGTTTAATTTACACAAAAGAAGAGCAAACTTAGTCATGTAAATAACGTTTGCTTCTAAACTGAGCTAATGCCAACATCTATAAATGTTCTTCACCTTTGCAATTTGATTTCAATTTATGATGAAAAGAAATCATCCAGTACAATTGTAAAACTTTCATTGTATTTTGGAGTTTATGTGAAAAATTAATTTTATGAATCTATCTGTCCATATTTAGTTTGGTAATCATTCAAAATCATCTGTAAATTAACAACTTTCTCTATGGCTGCTGCCTGTGCTGACCGTTCTCTATCTAGTTGTTTTTTGAGAAACTCCATTTCTTTAACACTATCTTCATAGAGTTTCTTATACTTATCAAGTTCAGATTGCAAAGCATTCTTTTCCATATGTGCAGCTACCTTCACGTGAATCAGTTCATCTCTCAGATTGTCAATGTCATCTTCCAGTGAAGAGATAGATGCAGGGCTGAACTGGTAAGTCGCCTTTTCATAATCTTTTTCAGTTGCAGACAAGGGCAAACTTTTCCGTTCTTGTAACTTTTCAGTTTTCTCAACAGAATTCAAGAAAGACAAACCGTAGCGCTTTGTATTACCGTCCACAGAATTTTCACATGATTCAGATTGTTTCTGAAGAATCTTCTCTAATTCTGACTCACTCTTGCGTTTACTAGATGTGTGCTTTTGTGACTGGCTGTATTCTCTTGTCCGACGAAGTAAAGGCATCATCTGGGTTTTGTTGCTATTGTTTTGTTGGTCAGTTGAAGGAGCTGGATGGGAATTTGCACCATCTTCAACTAATAAGAGTTGATCTTTGTTGTTATGATCATCACTCAGATCAGCAAAAACCTCTGCAGAACTATATACGGGCTGCATTGGTGTGACTTCACATTCAGACAATGGCAAATCAAGGAGGTTTCCTTCAGGAACCTCAATAGGCTCACGACTTACTGAAAATATAACATCACAATGTTTGATCAGGATTAATGCTAACTTCTGATTAAGTTCAGCAGTGGCTCGAAAAAGTTCAGGGTTATCATCAGCATGTCGAATAATATTTGGACCAAAAACCATTGCAAGATTTGGAAGTGTCATTTTGTTGATGTGTGATTTTTCACTCACTTTATACAAATGCTTGCATAGAAATTGTAAAATAAAGTAATTATCATCTTCAAGATGGTTTACTGCATCCACAAAACGTGGAATGTAGTCTTCATCAACATGCTCCTGACTATCAACAGCATCTAGAGCAATCCCCATGAAACGTTGGAAGTGGCTACTGGGTATAATGGAATCCGGAAGCTCTCGCAGATAAAGTTTTAATAAAGAAGCTACTGTATGAATGTCTGCTTGTGTATCTTCAAACTTTACTCGATCACCTGTGTCAAAACTTTCTTGTAGCTCTTTAATTAACACAAGTCTGCCAGGTAAACTAAAAGACAAAAGCAAAACAAAAAAACTTATAAATTGAGAAAAATGAAAGTTATTAGCATGAAGCTTTTTCTTTATGAATTTGAAAAAATTACAAAAGATAAAAAAGAAAATAAAAGAAAGACAATAAAAGCTTTAAAAATAACTTCCTGAAAAGTGAAAGGCAAGTGAAACCCCCCCAAAAAAAACCCAAAAAACTTTATACATAGATCTTTATTTTTAGTACTTCAAATGTTATTTTTAGTGCATACCCATATTTCAGTAGATGCTCCGTTTATTGTAAACTAATTATTTCATCAACTGGCCTGTGTACTCAAGAAAACTTAATAAACAAAATGTGAGCTGTTTTCTCAACTACACAGACTCGTAGATTAAATAAATATTATTTAAAATAAACAAAGTGTCTACTCAAATATGGGTATCCACTAAAAATAACATTGGAGGTCATAAAAATATCAGATTAAAAAATAAAATCCATTATTTCTTTAGAAATGACATATTGTAACTATTTTTTTAATTACATACTGCTACCAATTTATGCATAGCATTGAAAACATTGGAAAAAGTTAAGTAAGTAGATGAAAAAGTTACCAGCATTTTAAGAGCAAAAATCTTTTATTCCTAGAAATATAGAGCAGCATGACCTTACATATGACCTTAGACCATTTTTCAATTAAATTCTGTATTTCATCATGAAAGACACTTCTGCTTCTGATACTGAATTTATTGGAAGTGCTGACCCTGGAGCAAAACAAGAAATAACCAAGCAGAGGCCTAAAGAATATTGTATATGTCTGCTTGCTGTATTTGCAATTTGATGATGGACATTGAAATGCAGCAAAAATTTGTTTGAAAAATTTGCATATACCATAAAATGGTATGTCTATTCTTTCATTTTTCAATACATGTCTCTTCAGGACATAAACAATTGTAGCTCTGCAGACATTTTTTTCTTTATCTGTGAATCCCCATGACGTTTTGGGAAAGATATTGGTTTCCAGTTGCTTTCTCCAGAGTTTTGAATCCAAATCCAGAATAATCATTATCCTAGACTGGCTGCTATCCAAAATTAGAAAATTCAGTCAACTCTACTATTCCATCCATAGCCAGTGGGAGAAGAAGTGGAGTCATGTCAAGGACATTAGTGGAAAAGCGAATGTAACAGGTGAGACCTGAATTTGGACTCTGCTCACCAATTCCATTACCCAACCGATAACCATTATGCTAACTGCACAGTTTTCAAAATATACTATTAAAGAAATGTCAACAGGGCTTATTTTCCCTTTACTACCAAGCTGTGATCTAAATACTAAAGTGTTTATCATTTTCAATTATAATTATAAAATTCATCAAAAAAAAAAAATTTTTTTTGACCATATTGAAAAATATTTTAAGTACTTTTTAAGGTTTTAAGTAAAAACACAAATTTTCAATTTTATATATTAGACATAGAAGTCTGTCCTGTTTTCTCTTCATAAAACCCATTTTTCATTTAATCATCTTATCCAAAATTGATTTCTCTTGACGTAAATGCTCTTTAAATGTTGACCAAATTCTTTATATAAATTCATGTAAAACCCATTTTTCTAGCTTTTGATTTTTTTTCTTAAAGTCTCTAAATGATGGACTACATTTGACTGTCTGCATATGTTTGTGTCATACAAGCTTCTTTCAGAAGTTTTCAGGTATTCCACTGTATTTATTGCCCTTAAGCTTAAAATCTTTTATTAAACTTTGAACACCATTCCCAACCAATGCAACCTAAAAACTATTGAATAATTAGTTATTATTAGTTTAGTAATACATTGCCAAGCAGCTTACATTGCACTCTGCACCCATATTAAATCATAACATAGGGAAATCATCTCTTTTCCACACACAAGTGGATGCACACACAAGCAGTAAATAAGTAAACTTCACAGACAGTTCTAAAATTTTCTTAACATTAATTGAGAAGACAGGATTGGAAACCTTTACATCAACCTCATATCATAAGAACATGATATTAATATATTTTAAAAACTTTAACTTACCGGTATAAGCCTTCATACTCCAAGCCCTTATTTTCTATGAACTCAACACATTCTTGAACAATGTAGGGAATCTTTTTGCCACTTTTATGTTCAAATTCCATTGTTTCTTTTAAAGATTGACCAAAAATAGCTTAAAAGAGAAAGAAAAAAATATAATGCAAGACATTTATTTCACATCAATTAATTTTAAGTAATAAATATAAAGAGTGCATATATTATAGCAAAATGTTTGGAAGTCAAGGAGGAAAAATCTTTGATGAAATGATGATTGAACTATTTATCAGCATTGGACTTTGGATGTTTTACTCCAAGTTTCTTTATTCACTGCAAAACCATCTGATTCATTTTCTATCTCTTTTTGGCAAAGTACTAGATGCTCTAATCAACTCTGAATTGGTTCTTTCAGACAAACAATATGGCTTTTGCTTCTCTAGGTCAAGTGCTGATGTGTTAACAGTTATTGCTGAAAAAGTGTGTCAAACTTTAGATAAGAATGAAGCTGCCTTAGATATCTCAAAAGTGTTTGACAGAATGTTGCATATTGGTCTTCTTCACAAATTGAAGAGTTATGGTGTTTCTGGTCAAATCTTTGACTTGATTCATTCTTATTAAATGAATGTTGTCTTGAATATCCACTCTTCTAGATCATTTTACTTTAATGTAGACGTCCCCCATGGCTCTATCTTTGGACCTACTTTGTCTTATCTCAGTTACAATCATTTTTCCACTGCCAAAACATAGCTTCCCTGTGCCTTTTCTATAAATACTTTTATGGCAATTGTTCTGATGAGCTTTTGTCTATGGTAACTTGAATTTACAAACTTAACTTCAGTACTAGATTGGCAGCTAGGTTTCATCATTTTACTGTTGAAATTGCTAAGTGTAAGTTCTACTGTGACACTGGTAAAGGAAAAGGGTTAATTTAAAATATGAACTAGAACAGACGGAGAGGGTTAAAAGTATGGAATAACTTTTAAACTGAAAGGAATGAAATGGTTTCCTATTGAAAATCTAGCTTGAAGAAAAGACAGACCTGAAAAGAATGACTTTATTGGTTTTGGGAAAGAGGCCATGTGGAAGGCTTCAACCCACAAAGTCTGAGAACGAATAATGAAAGTACATTCAAGGTCCATTGAGAATTTTGGCAATGGAAGCAGAAATTGATTATGTTCACTTAATTAAAGTAGAAGTTATGAAAACATGTCTCATGATGACCAGACGGAAGAAGGAGTAATTTTGTGTTATAATATTTGGTAATTTTGAAGACAAAGGCAGAATCGAGAAATTGCCTGTTAAAGAGTAAAAATAGCTTTGCTGATTTTGGAAATGTAAACAAATCGAAAAATAGGATCCTTTGCTCAAAGAAATTGAAATACAAAACAGACATTTAAGAGTCACAAGTACAATTAAGTAGAAAGATATGAAGAAAAGTTGTGCTAATAGTGGGTCGGTGGAATAGGTGGTAAATATCTGCTTAAGTAAACAGTACTGGGAACTGAGAAAATTTGTTGTAGAAAATAAGGACAATTACAATTAATGATTAAAAGTAAGAACCTCCTTTTCGACCATTCAGTTTAATAATCAGATTTGCCAAAGAGGCAGGCTTAGATGAAATACTAAGAGAGGAGGAGGAGGAAGAATAAAAATTACATCCATGTATTTGGAAGTAATGGTGCAAGACATAAACAAGAGAAGGAATAAGTTATAAGGGTGGGGCAATACTGCAACCATCACCAGTAGAGTGTTCTCCCAAATTTGGAAAGATAATTAATATTGCTAACCAGACAACAAAGAACTCTTGTTCAAACCAATTCAGAAACCTGGGGAGTCACCAGAACCCCCAAATACTGACAACTCTACTCCAGTCTTGGGTTGAAGCCAATATGAGCAGGGCACTTAGACGACCCAGAGTGAGACAAGAGACAAGCAGTGAAGAGCAGATGAAGATGCTACTGAAATCCATGTGACTTGCTGCCAAGAGAACCCCCAACTTTAAGTTCTGTTCCAAGAATTAGCACCAATAGGCAAAGTGTCACTAATGATATTTTAGTGGGAAGGGTAAATGCTGTTATACAAAGAACAATATAAACCAAATGGAAAACTGACCCAAAGAATATTTCATTTTTATTTTGTCTATGAGAACATTTTTTTTTCCTTCATAACAGCTTCGCCGTGGTTCGAACCAGCACTACGATTACTGACTATACTTGATCTCCACTGCTCTGTGATTAAGAAACACAACATGGGCAAGGAAAAGTGTGGACTGGGGCAGCAACAGTATTGATCATCATGGGATTGACCCTGCAATCAACTCATCCTATAACCCTGAGGACTAAATCATCTTCTGGTATAGGTAGCATGTGGCAAAGGTCATATCATCTGGTCACTACTGACCAGGTTTGACCCAGGATCAACAGGGGCATGCATGTTATACTATGTGAAAGATTTCTTCTCTGATACTTCTTGTTTTCTTGTCAACTATGATCTTCAGAAATTTAAATGTAATGTTAATCATTATCTTTTGTCTCCTTGCATCCTAGTCTTTTAACATTCTAAAATTTTCTCAGTTTCTTTCACTCTCTGTAGCTCTTTGTATCTTAGTGGCTTTATCACCTTTCTATGGGGGAAAAGATTTAAAAAAGATTTTTTTAAAAAATGTAAAGTAATGTATGAACAGTTGTTTTTGATTTGAGTGGAGTCACATCATATCAGGTTCATTCAAAGTTAAAACTGAAAAAACTTCCTTTTTTTTGTTTACCTCCTCCAAGTGATTTGTACATAACTCGACGGATGGCTCGAATCCAATCCTGCCTGTCTGCATCAGTATCACAACAAAACAGTATCGTTTCATGGCTTGGAACTCCATTTTTTGTTTTTTCTGATTTAAAATATTAAAAATAAAATAACCTGTTAAGAATATATTCTCAAGGCAAATTTCATTATATTACCATAAATAGATTAACATCAAACACTTGAAACATTAATGAAAACTGAATTCTATTAGACATATTTGATAGAGTTTTATAAATAGTCTCAGTGGTATGAAGTGACCATTAACCACTGATAGATTAATGACTATAATGTAAGGAAAGGAACATTATATGTTGATATCATTAAAGAAATCAGAAATATTATTTTTATTATAATCCATTAAATGAAGCAAAATAACTGATAAATGATATTTCTATATGGTAATGAAAGTTTATAGAAAAAGTAATTTATTTCATTTCTAAAAATGTTCTACATTCAAAACTGAAATGAAATTTTAACTGTCTTGTAATTTACAACTGTCTTTAAACACTACATTATAATTAGCAAAATTTTCAAACTGTTACAATCATTTTTACTGTTAATAAGTTTATCTTATAACTACTTTATTGAATCTTGATTGAAAATATTCTAAACTCAGTATGTTTTTTATCAATTCAAAAAAATGTAAAATCATATCTCTTTATATTAACAATTTGAAATTAAGAATTTAGGTGCAATCTCTTGTAAACTACACAAGTAATATAAAAATAAATGAAAATACACATTTTTGAAAATAGCAATTCATATTAAAAGGATAAAAATACAAACTGATTATGATCTATTTTCTACAGTATATCTGTAAACATACACATTAGACAAACAGCTATAAAGTAAATGCAATCATCATCTAATTTGAAGAGAAAAGTTACCTGGTAAAATTTCAAAGAGGTATTTGTCAGGATTGTCTGGGGAGAAAGAATGGGCAACAACTCTGTTTCCTGGCAAAACAATAGATCCCAGGGATTTAAGATCACCTTCACGGTTAAAATAAAACAGACAGGCACCATTGAGCACAACCCATCGTCGCTGCCAGGCTTTGACTCGAGCTCTCTGCTTTTTTAACCAGCCTTTCTTTATAATTGGAATATAACTAACATCCATGTTTGTCTGAAAAACTAAGAAAAAATTGTTTATCAGAGAAAGAGAATAAGTTAATCATTAGAATAACTGAAAGGAACAGGTCTTTGATTCATCTTTTGCTAATTCATGGATTACCTAGTGACAGGCAGAAAATAAAAATTTATTTTGTTGCTCATTACCATTATTAATGATTTGTTAATGAACACTAAGTTGAGAATTTTTTTTTCATTTTTGTTGATTTTTTTTTTTTTCTACAGCTTCCACTATTCCTAAGTATTGGGTTATTTTTTTGCATTTCTTCAAAAATTTTAATTTTTTTTATCAAAAGTAAGACACCTCAATGTTTAAAGTTTCTTGACTGGTTAAAAATTAAAATAGTTTTATTATTTTCATAGCCATAGAGTTTGTTTTTAACAAAATAATTTTATAGCCTAGTTAATAAAAGAAGATAGACCACAAGAATATTTAGGCTTCAATTAAAATAATATTCTCAATAAATTACTAATTATGTAAATTCAAGATTCTTTTTCTATGATTCAAGTGATTATAATGAAGGTTTATCCTGACAGGAAAACAGTAAATCTCAAGATGTTTACCTATTATTCAGATACATTTGGTATCATCAGCATAATCAGCAGCAGCAGTATATAGAAATGTCTCCATATTAATGATTAAGGTGAAACAATAATAGTTGTTAAAAAAAAAATATGTAGACAAGGTCAGTAAAGTAGCTTTTATCATACATGATTAAGTAAAAATTTAAAAAAAAAAAAAATAATAATTGCAAAGATTTACAAAATATTTGTAAACTTGTTATTCTTATTTATAATAGTTCATGTGCCCGCAGAATCAGTTTTATTAATCAAGTACTAATTATACCTTTAATAACTATTTGAAAATGTACATAAAATGATTAAACATTATACATGTGTAACATTTAAAAATTCCATTCTCAAATATGAGTAGATTCTTTAGCCATATAACTTCATTGGCAACCATTACACTACAGATGAGTATGATCAAATGTTATCTTTGTTACAACAAATAATCTTGTTTTGAATTCTGGGTAAATTAACATTTTTTTCAATTTAATACAAAAGATCTCTCAGTCTTTTAATGCTCTACTAGGTTCACATGTGAAATATTCCTAATGTCAAAAATAATAAAAAGCACAATATGAAACCATGTTATATAAAATATATTTAAAGAAAATGGATAGAATTTAAAACTTTCTGATATCAGATTCTACCATGAATAACAAAATACATCTGTACAGCTTTAGACATCTGGAAATCAATGTAAGGGAGTTTTTGAAATAAGTTTGTGATAAAAAAAAAGATATATATATATATATATATATATATATATATATATATATATAATATATAATATATTTATAAATAATGATCAAATTTGTATATCAAAAGGAATGGAGAGAGGAAAGTGAAAGCTAAATAAGCAATGAAGCAAAAAAAATAGTAAAAAGATTAAAGAACAGGAAGAACAACAATTTTAAAACCTTTCTTCAAAGCAGAAAACCCATAAATATAAAAGCATCAAAATTTAAATTTATTTATAAAAATCACCAATCATTTTTAGCATTTTACAGATTCATTCAAGAGAAACAATAGGTGTGATAAAAAGAAAATGCTTAGTTATCTCCCTTTTAAATGATGTCAATTGCTTTATTGATTTATCATACATTCGAAAAATTTACATTTTTTTTATATCTCAAAAAGGAAATTATTGACCTCTAAATTCCCAAATGTAATCTTTTTCATCAAACCAGCATAATTTTTACCTGAAAGCACAAAGAAGTTCATTTGGAATACAGATTGAGAATTTTTTCTTTTCTGTATATATATATATATATATATATATATATTAGAGAGAAAGAGAGCAATACCAGCTTATCCTGCACAAATGGATTTTTTTGTCAAAATCCAGACTTTTATTCAAGACAATAATTACATGAAAGAAGTGTAGCTATTATCTAATAAAGCTCTACACTACACGGATTTTAAGAGAATATTTAGCAACTATGAATGAGAAATAAGATTCTATCATCAACTAGTTCTCTGCAGTTGTTTTCATAGTACAAATGTAGCTCTATAAAACGTCTTCCATAAAACGCACAATTGAAAAACGTTTAAAAGAAATCTTTTGTTCCTTACCTAAACTCAAAATTGTGCTCATGAAATAAGATTCCTACAGTGGCTTTCTTTATCAGTAACACAGTTGTTATTAAACTTATTTTAAAATAATGGATTATTTCCAGATTTAATTGCATGATGCATTTTCATCTAAATTCAATGTCATCACAATAAAATAGAATCTACCCTGTCTAACCCTAACCCCCCCCATAAGAAAAAAAAAAAAACATAAAAAAAATAGAAATAAAACAGTATATGCAATTTTTGATTTCCTATGTGAAAAAAAAAAACAAGTGGCATTAAAACAACAACTACAGAAAGATTAAAAACAAACAAACAAACAAAAAAAAAGAAACAAGAATCTAGATAAAGCCTGTTAAATACATTTATGTGATATGTTTTCAACAAATCCTCCATAAACAAATGGTTAACTACTCTTGTACATTATAGAACAAGCATCCATCCCCACATATCTAACTTGCAGAGGTGTGGGGGTGGGGCAGTCTGGACAATTATCACATGGAGATGTAAGGCATCAATAGTATACATGTTGTATTAAGTTGACCACCTGATTTTAATGAGAATAATGCATAATCATATATTTACGCTTATAATTGCTTATAGAATTGAAAGCAGAATTTTAGTTATGACAGACTGTTTGTGTTTTGTATAAATCTTGTGCCAGTATAAAATGGCAAGAAGCCATTTCTCCACCAATCAATTTTCTGCTTAAAATAATTTGAGGCCCAAAAACGTTTTACTCTAAATGATGAGCAACATTTTAGTTAAATTTAACAAAATTTCTTTGTCTCTTACTTTCCATTACAAGCAAACTTTGATTTCATTAGGTCATTAAATGAAATACATAATTTGGGATTAATTAAACTCTGAACATGTAGCATTTGATGCTATGGTATAGTTTTAATATAATATTTTTATGCAACTACTGTAGTGGCTGTTTTATTCTTTAAGTTTTCCCTATAAAATTGGTTGCAAAAAATTCATTGCTCTATGATTTAGACTTGGATTTAATCTGGCCATTGAAATGTCAACTTCAGTTTAGAAACTGCCATTGGTCAAATGATATTGTGAAGAAAATATTTTGTGATTAGGTCGTAATATTTAGAGAAGTTTTAAACCTGCAGTAGTAGATAATTTAATGCCAGATATAAAATGTTTATCATGATAACTGGAAACTTGCTCTGAGGTTTTATCTACTAATTCATAATTTGATGACTATTATTGGCTACCTACTTGTTTTATCAAATTCATCCAGAACAATAGTAATATAAATGATGAATTATAGATAAAATTTAATATGTATGCCAAGATCAATCAACCAATAAGCTTGTTTTTATACACTAGATATTTTTGGAATGTTCTGACTATCATATTCAAATGGTCATTATTTATTAATTTCACTTTGTGTCCTTGGAGAGAGACTTGGCAGAAAAGAGAGAAAAAACAATTTAAAAGAAAATATTTTCAAATCATAACAACAATATTTCACAGGAAAGGAATAATTTGTTCAATGTCTATTGTCTATTTTTCTGAATAAACATTATTTAAACATATTCTGTAGTTAACTTTCAAACCTCATTTGTTCAATTTTATTAAGCAGTCAGTAATTTGGTCATGTTGTCTAATGAAAATTTAGTACTTTCATTAGAATTGGTTGTTGCATTTGACCATTGGGTAATTTTATTGGTTCTAAGTTCAATAAGATCTGACAGGTCAAATGAACTTGAGTTATCAATAATGTTACAATAACATTTCAATCACTCTATTCTACAGCTTTCTAATCTATAAGAAAAGAGGCGTGTGAGTTGTCTCTATTTACAAAACCACAAACAAATCTTAGAAGGTTAATAATAATAATTATTATTATAAACAATATATCCAGACATAAGTTTGAAAAATGTATGGCATTGTTTGATAATTTATGAATTCATTATATTAAAAATTGATGTTATTTCATAACACTAAGGCACATGTTTCCTAAGAGGAATAAAGTGAGTAATTTGAAATCAAATTACCTTGTCTTTATACCTGAGCCACAGCTATCCAACAGTCCTTTGTCCACTGTTAAGCTGGCTATATATGAGGACCTTAGGTATTCTGATGTCACTCATCTTTGCAACATGACCAGGCCAGCAAAGTTGTGACTGCATTAGGAAAGCCTCAATTCCACCAATGTTGCATTTTGAGAAAAGATCAATATATATATATATACTTTTTGAATAAATTATATATAACATAAACATGTTATAACATCACTACAAAAATAGCCATTTTATTTCAACACTGGTGTCTTCTCAAGTGATGGTGTTGAATGTAGAATAAAGAGTTTTAAAAGGTTCAAATCAACCAAACACCCCTCAATAGGGGAAATGCTGTTACATAAGCTACAATGACAAATCAAAATAAAAGTATATGATAATTCAAAAAACTTAACAATGAACCTTGATTATAATTATTAATGCCTTAATGTTAATGTTAGACTAAAATAGAAATCATTGATTAATTTTAAATTTTACTATAAAATTAAAAACAAAAATTACCAATTTTAAATTTAACCAGTATAAAGTTTAAAATATTATAAAATTATTTAAAGAAGAAACTGAGGAGAATATACATATATTTTATTATTTATTCTGTTTTAATCGAAAAGCCATATTTTCAGTTAGAGCAAATGTTAATCTAAGTCTAGGGAGATTCAAACATTGTAACAACTTAGATACATTTGAAGGAACCTGAAACCAGATGATGTAGGCAGGAGAAGAAATTTTACAAATGACAATACATACACAATCATATTATAAATATACAAACATGTAGACATATTTATTTTATATACATATAAACACG